GAGAGCATTTTCCTTGTTACTAGACTTGCTGTTAATCTATAAACTTCCTCCTTTTGCTTGTGTCAGAAAAAAGGGTTCTAACTAATTCATGGAAGGTGATTAGTATAGTGCATATGGTCGAGGGGGAGCTCAAGAATGCCAGCAACTGTCTGTCATAATTGTCTAGCTTGAAGGCCATACAGTCAGACCAAGATGAGACCTGTTGTCCTCCAGGGATGTGAGCAGAGTCCCAGACAGGGAACCACTGGCACATATGGGAATCACACAAAGTTAAATATATACAGACAGAATTTATTGAAAACATACTGTATTTCAGACATTTTTCTAAATGTTTTTAATTTCTTAAATTATTATACATAGAAATATATTAATATTCAACATAATAACACAATAATACAATGGACAGTCATTACCTGGGGGAAGGCGGAAGCAAAATGCTTTCTACCAGTAATAATAACCACAAAAAAAGAACTTAAATTTAAAATCATTTTATTATACCTAAAACCCCATTCTACTAATTTTAAATACTAGTTCTTAAATTCTAGATAATCTGGCAATTCTGTTTAACTTCTGTAGTTATTTTCTACCCTTCTTTGCTCTGCTTTGTTACTGCAGAAAGCTAATTTATATTGGCTTCTTCAATAGCCTCCCCTGTCCTCTGGTTTTTTTAGACAAGGTGAACATCAGCAAGAAACTGGAGGATGGAAAGACTGATGTCACTGTGTATGGCCCCTAAGTCACAGGGTGGCAGAGGCTGCATGCCTCCACTGAAGGTCAGTGCTAAAGACCCTCTCTTATCTCTCTCATTCCAGTGACCACTCAGTCCCCTTCCCTATTCAGGGAATGGTTTCCTATTATTAGCCTAAGATTTCCTATTATTCCACCCTTCTCTGATGGTTTCCCTAGCGCCTGATCATTCTCTTGGGAACATCTGTCTTTTCGTTGATTCACAAATTTTCCCCACTTGAGTGTCTCAGGACTTTACTGTCAGGCTACTGACTAATAAGAATCTTTGGTAGCAGGAATGGCCCAAGGCTCCAGGAAGCTCACATGGAAGGACATCGGGATAGCCTCCTTACTAGGTAGTCAATGAAACTCAGAAGCCTTGACAGGTGCTGGCAAGATACTCAAATTGTCACTGCTGGTGTATGGAATGAAGTGTGAAACAGGTAAGGTTTGGGAAGGTGTGGTATTTACATATAATATAGCAACAGTAGTATGTAGAGGGAGGCTGGTAAAGTGACAAGGCTAACTCTAATGGCCCTAATGGACATGCAAATGTGAAAGAACCCCTTGAATGCTTAAGTCAAAACAGGTGAAACATCAAGAAGTTTCTCTGTCAGCTTTAAAGATCCTTTATTGACCTAAGTTTCAGAATAAATGAAGCTGAAAACCAACTCTTCTCAAATCTGATTTGAAGTGTTATGGAATTGCACTGCTGAATAAAATGGGCAATATCAAAACTACTATTTCTTGGCTATGGGACAATGACAAGGAAGAAATAATGCATCTCTGAGTGAATTACAGATGTTAGTGAAACCATCAGAAAACTGAAAGATGTGGGGACGATAACTTACATTATATACCCATTTAAACTGTTCAGCTAATGCACTAGCTAGATGGATCTGTGGATGAATGCAGACTTAATCACATCTTAATGCCAACTGCAAATGCACTTCTAACTAGAGAATCTTTACTGGAGCTTATTTTAACATCATCCCTAATCTCAGGTATGAAACAACTAATTTGATTTCTTTTTTTTAAATTTTTTTTTTTGTAGACAGCATACCTTTATTTTTATTTGTTTATTTTTATGTGGTGCTGAGGATCAAACGCAGAGCCTTACATATGCTAGGCAAGCACTCTGCCACAGAGCTACAGCCCCAGCCCCAAACCTGATTTCTTTTTAAAACAATTCCTATCAACAAAGATAATCAGAAGCAGTTTGCCTTCACAATGCAGGGACAACATGCTTTCATTATCTTATCTTAAGGCTAGGCCAGCTCTCCTCTCCTTGTTATAACATAGTCTGGAGAAATCTTGTTCATCTTAACATACCACGAAACATCAAGCTGGACTATTACATTCATAACATTAGACAGATTGGACTTGATGAGCAGGAAATAGTAAACACTCAAGATCTTCCAGAAGATAACTAATAGAGGACAGGGGATAAACTCAATGAAAGTTCAGGGACTCTGCACATTGATGACATGTTGTGGATCCAGTGGTCCAGGAGTGTTGAAATAGATCTTCAATAGAAAGAGATAAATCGCTTTATCTTGAATCTTCAATTATGAAGATCAAGGAACAAAACATCATGGCCTCTTTGGGTTGTGGAAGAAGCAGACAGCACTTGTTGGTATGCTGTTCTAATGCTGGTACTAAGTACTCCCCAAGGCTGTCAGGTTTGAGAGAAGTCTGGGCAAGGAAAGGACCTGAAGCATACCTGGCCATGAGGAAATCTACCTTATACCCTTGGTTATAGGCCTAGCAGATGTAGTGATTTTTGGAAATGTCGGTGGCAAGCAGAGATGCTGTATGACATCTCTGTCAATGGAAGCCTCAGAGTGCAGATCCCTAATAGTTTTGTATTAAAGAAATATGATCTTCTACCAATAACCATCCTTCACTTAAAAGCAGCTCTGAACTTGTTACTGGATTCCAGTTAACACACAGAAATAGCATACAGAACTCCAAATAACTGGGTGGCCCAAACTACACATCATGAACTAGGTGTTATCTGATTAAACATATCATAAAATAAGAGTTATATAACATTGTTAAAAGAAGCTGGAACCAAGCAGGTTTGGGAAGGCCACACATTCTGCTTGAGCAAGTTTCTCAAGTATCTATGATAACTCTACTTCTACTACTTAATATGTCCACTTCAGACCATATCTATCAACTTACAAGGTGTTCTCCATGACCAGTGAATGGAGAATGTAACAGTGGGAATCTAGTTTGGAAATTAATTGCATGGTATTTGGTACCACTGATGATACTCTATTTTCAAGTCCATTTTAGAGGTTAGCCCTAAAATACAGTGATGAAAGCATATCCCCCAGCTGTGAGAGTTTCTACAAGTACATCTGACTGTACGCTGGGTGGAAGAAGAGAGGGCTGAAGCAATGATATATGCTATGAAAATATGCCTAAAGACTTCAAGGAACAAAAATGGAAAATTGATGATAGACATTCTAGGGGAGAGTTATGTGGATATATCTTTCAGTATTGGTATAAAATGTGATAACATGGTGTTGTGGTTTGAATCTGGGATGTTCTCCAAAATTCTCATGCATTGAAAGTGCGGTTCACAGATGGGGATTTTAGGCAATGATTGTATCATTAAGACTCTGACCTCATCAGTGGTAAATGCACTTGATGAATTAATGTATTGTTAGAAGAATGGACTACTGGGTGGTAACTGTATGAAGACAGGGCATGAAAGTAGGTTACTAGGGGTGTGGCCTAGGGACTATGTCTCTTCCCCGCCTCTCTCTCTGCTTCCTGGCTGTCATGAACTGAATAGCATTCTTCTGGTATATCTTTCTGCTATGATGTTCTATCTCACCTTGGCCCTGAGCAGTGGAGTCAGCCAACTATGGCCTGAGACCTCTGTAACTGTGAGCCAAAATAAACTTTTCCTCCTCTAATATGGTCTTCTTTTGTATTGTGATCATAGCAAGGAAAAGTTGACTAACATATATGATGTTCTATATTAACTCCTTCTTGAGGGCATTCACTGAAAAGGGCTTTAGTAATCAGGATCAAGTAACTTATATGGATGTCAGTCCAACTGTTTATCTTACCACCCTAGTCCTTGCTTAATGGGCCCATGCACAAAGCGATAATGGGAGAAGGTATAGAAACTGTGCATGGATTCATGTGCATAGATTTTCCCCTCTCAATAACTGATTAAACTAGTATCAATGCTGACCTCACAATTTTCAAATTTCTGGCTTGAGAGTATTATATATTAATTTTCCACCTTTAACTTCTTAGTTAGGGCAATTCATACTAAAAGTCAAATGAGATTCAGGAACTTTAGAATATAGCTGATAATTTACTAGATCTTTAATTAACTAGGACTACTCAGATATACTGGAAAATATAAAGAAAAATAATAAAAGCATTAACTTAAAATTCTCACACTCTAATGCAACCTGTCATTATAGATGAAAATATCATTTTTCTCATATACATAGTAAAATTAAAATTTAACATGTCATTATAGACAAAAGGAACATATAAAACTGGCTTGAGAGTACTATATATTAATTTTCCACCTTTAACTTCTTAGTTAGGGCAATTCATACTAAAAGTCAAATGAGATTCATTCAGATTTCTGGTAGTTCTTTCTACTTTATGTACTTACATTCTGGCATTTTTAAAAATAATCAAACATTCTAGATTTTGAAATCATTTATAAAAAGAGAAAAGTTTCAGATAGAGTCCAATGACTATAGTTTGGAAGTTAAAGAAACAAGAAAATGAAATATTACTCTAACGGCCAATTTTCTAATGAGTATAAGGTTTTCCAATTCAAAAATAACAATATGTGATTATTTTCCACAGAGGTCCCAGCCTAGCACTGTATCAGTCAAAAAACCCCACAGCTTTCACCTCCTGTACAGGAACTTCAGAATGTAGTTATTAATTTACTAGATCTTTAATTATCTGGGACTACCCATAATTTCTGCATTAATAATTATAAAATTATAAATCAGAAAAATGACAGCTATTTATAATTACAATATTCTGAAATTAACAAACTCAGTTAATGGTACTCCTTTCTGCTAAGTCTATAAGCCTAAAGAAGAAGGGCCATATATGCATCCTACAAGTTATTAGTTATTTAATGTACACAAACAGATATACTGTTTGGATGGACTGTTCCTAGCTACACACCAAAGATGAACATTACTCAGGATTATTCTGTAATATGCTCTTGAAATTTTGTATTTTATCATTCTTCTCAAACACTTGGAGACACTTACCAGAGTGGGTCCTGAGGTGTCCTGTGAGGGCGTCCCTTCTTCTACAAGCGTAGCTACAGAAAGGACATTTGAACGGCTTCTCTCCAGAGTGTAACTTTATGTGTCTCAGAAGGTTGCCCTTCTGAGTAAAAGAAGCTCCACACTGGTTACAGTGGAAGGGACGTTCACCTGAAGAAAGAAGAAGTCAGAAAAATCAAGTAAGTAATGTGCAAGTAACAGCCAATTCTCTCTAATCATGATACTCTTAAGTCTTCTAAATACGTATTTTCTAGGATTTGCTTTGAACATAACAAAGTCTCAGGCTTTGGGTCAAGTGGTCATTTCCCCTCTTCATATAAATCTGACTAGATTCCTGTTATTGACTTCAAAAGAATAACAATAACAGTATTTACCAACAGCTGAACAACTAGGTGCCATCACTTTACTGCCCTAGTGGTTGCTTTACATATAGTATTTCAATCCTCACAATGACATTTATAATTAGGTATTATAATTTCAATTCATAAATGAAGAAATTGAAATGCATGAATCAAAGTATATGATTATAGTTATAGAGCTAATAAGAATACATGCTGAGAACCAAACCTGGTCAGTTTGGATACAAAACCTAATTATTTTACCATGCTTTCTTTAAAATTCACAGAAATTATGGGTTGAAAGTACTGTGAGTCTCACTCCCTCTTTCAGGTAATAGGGAGATAGAGGCCATAATGAATGAACCAAATTACAAAGTTCATTACCACAGAATCAAATCTTTTGATTCTGCTGGTCAGTAACAGTAAAACCATTCAATTTCCTGGCATCTCAGGGAAAATCCAAAAATATGAAAATTATTCATCCAGACCTTTCTTGTGTATTCTCTTTATTTTACGAAAATCCTATGTTTGACAGGTATCTTCTTTCACTTTTTCTGTCATTGATATTGCTATAAAATTGTTTAAACCTGAATTATTAGTTTACTCTCTTGCCACCAAATGGCTGTCACCAGTGTCATCAAATATAAAAACATTAAGGTAATGGAGCAGTGAAATTGGCAAGTAGGATCAAACTAACACTATAAAATTACAAAGAAAATACTATAATTTTAAGATTGCCTATCTCTAAAGATAGATAAGAAATAAATTATAAATTAATACCTAAGTAAATAAGTAAAAAGTAAAAAGGGATCATTCTAAAGCTCAAAGCTTTGAAAAAAATTTAAAACAATTCCTTTTGGTTGAACTGAACCATTTCTGTACTTGAGATTAGATGATTATAATTTCAGCATTTTAAAAAATCCATTTAATGGTGTGTTTCATATATCTTTAGCTGAAATATCTGTAATAATAGTGGTGTCGGGTGGCTAACACCTGTAATACCAGCTACTCCAGAGGCTGAGGCAGGAGGATCACACATTCAAGGACAACCTGGGCAACTGTATCAAGATTTTAAAAAATGGACTGGGAATATAACTCAGTGGTAGAGTACCTTGCCTAGCAAACACAAACCCTGGGTTTAATTCCTAGTACAGTGCAAATACACACAAAAAAGCAAAAATAACAGTGAGTCATAAAACCTCAATATATATTTTTGGTCCTTGGGCATATATTGGTAATTTCAGGGATTTTTTTAATTAAAGAGAACTAGGACACATGAAGAAGATTTGGCAGCAGCCACTGCAAATTCTATCACTGAGTTTTGTTTAAAAGAATAAATAAATTTTTAAGGCATACCTTATAATCTATTGTACTTATAATAGAAAATAATGAGGTATGTGTGTGGTGGGGATTAAAGTTTTCTCTTTAAAAATTAGGAGCCCTTAGAGCTAAGTTTCAAAAAATTCATGTTAAAATTATCCTAAATTTTATATTATTTAACTAGCTTGATTTAGTTGGTAAAATCTAAAACCTCTCATATGGAGTTTTATGAAATAGTCAAAGTTTTAAAATCTCATTTTTTTGCAGATTTTTTTATTTATATACATATAATACAACTTAACTTCTTTTATTATTTTCCCTCCAATGAAATAATGGATCACACCCTTTAAAGACCATAATTATCTACTCCCCACCTCTGCCACAGAATTCATAAAAAAGGACAGACTGAGGTACTGCTCTCACAAATTAACTTTTTGAAAAAAGAAGAAAAATTATACTTTTTACTTCAAAAATTTGATGTTACTTTTGGAATCTATCTACGTAAGATTTCCTAAGCAAGTAGCTAATTAGTATGCAATAACTTTGAAAATTAATTAAATTAGTAGAAAAAAATTGAAATCACGTTTGCCTTTGGAAAATACTTCATCAGTAACATGTTGACTTAGATTTTCCCTGAACCACCTATATTCTTTGAATTAAAATATTTAAAAGTCCTTAATTTAGTTAATTCACTATTCAAAGTAATGCTACTCTAAAAAAGAAACAACAGTTTAACAACAGGATAACCCTTTTTTTAAAGAATTTTTAAATTCACCTAATTTTTATGAGGCAAACAACAGGGTAATTTAGTTTTTACATTTACAAATACTCCAGATGTCTTTGAAAATTTTAAAACTACAAAACTACTACTTCTGAATTCATATTATCAGTCTCAAAGAGGGTAGGAGAAATGTAAGCAGGTCTGGATATGTCTTAGAATACTGCCATGTTGTTAAGCTGTGGAGGCCTCTGGTAAGTTCCATGCTCAGAAGATATAAAGAACAAAGCTCCACGAAAGTAACCAGTCAGGCTCTTTTTTTTTTTTTTTTTAATAGAAGACAAGGCACTGATAGCAATGTACCAAAGTTGTACACTGTTTGAATGTACCAAAGTTGTAATGTGTCAACCAGAAAAGGCTTTGAGAAATAACTGATTTCAATTATGAATAAGTCTTGATTGAGCTTTTTACTTTTGGATATCAATCATAGGGCTTTTCTCATTTTAAGGTGAAATCTACTTAACAACATTTAATGTCTTAATTATATGAAAAACACACTTTCAATTTTCAGTTATTCACTGAAATATGTAAATACAAATAAAAGAATGAGTTTGTAATTTTATTATGGAATAAATTATATTTTAATAGTTTATATGCTTTCATAAATATATATTGTAAAATTATTGTTTATATGTTTAATCGAAATGCAAGTATAATCCAAATACATCAATTTGCTTTGGCAAATCAAAGACAGGATATTCTTGTGTTGGATAGAACCACCACTTACAAATATGTGCAATCCTAAGCACTTTTTGAGAAGGTTTTAGAGCAAGAAAATTGCTCCATGGTACTACAATGTATAAAATTGAGTGCTGAAAACTTAGTTACAATGATGGGAGTACTCTAATCCAAAAGTGGAATCTTCTACATAATATTCTATACAATATAGATCTTCTATATAATATTCTCACTAATTCACACTCATGGCATGAATTGATTTACTACCACTACTTGTTTTCTTCTTTCTATACTCCCAGTGAAGAGTGCCTGGAGTATCCGATGACAATATTACCTGATTAGGTACTAAAGTAGCAATGCCAAAAAAATTAAACCAAGTCATTAATAAAACAATGGAATTGGCACTTTAGTAGAATATGAAAGAGAAAGAAGAAGAAGTGAAGTAGATCTGATACTCCATGTCACTGTAATAAATTGGAAGGTTGGACACCTTCTTTCACTGTTGGTTTTATATTAGATATTCTATGACCTAAAAGACACTCAAAAATCTGTTTTCCAGCAGTTTTACAGGGGTTTAAGACAGTGCCTTTTACATTAATTACAAATAATTGTTAAGAGTAGGAAGTTCTAAAATTAAGACACTAGTTCAAAATATTACAGAGAAAACAAGGTTAATGACTAGATTCTGATTCAATCTTTCTTAATTTAGTTTAAATTAAAGAAACACAAATAGACCTTCTGTCTTTAAACAGTACTAAAATGGAACTGAAATGTCATGACCCACTCATAGAAGTAAACTGGGTCATTAGAAACATGTATTAAAAGAGCTAATTTAAGATATCACATCCAAAATTTCAAAGTCAACAAAGTATGGTAAGTATTCCAAGCTCTTCCATGAATGGCTAACATTAACAATCTCCCAGCTCTGAAGAAAGAATAATAATTTGCATAATACTCCAATGTGCATTTATTAATAAAAATGTTCATAGTGTTGCAAGTGTACTTTGGTTTTGTAATCATTCTCCTTGCCTTTATCAGGTAAAGGAGTCTCATATTCCTAGAACCTGTGGAAATCTGAGTAACTGTAAACATGTTTCATCCCAATTAGACCATTTCAGTGCTAAAATGACTTGACCTGACTTCACTACAGGAGTAAATAGCAAACGGATAGTAGAGTAGGTATGCAATGATTGCTATTTTAAAAACTCATGAATATCTCTACAAATACAGTGAAAAATGATATAAATTTTCAAGAAAGTGTATTGTGGTTCTTTGAATTTTCTTAATGAAGAACACACAGTGTTTATTAAAAATGTCACAAATATTATTTTTAGTATACACTTCAGCCTTAAAATTAATACTATATACAATTCAACTACAACGTCATTAGACTGATTTGTAGTTTGTATAATACTGGATAGGAGAAATTATACATTTGAATGAGTTGAGTGTTATCTTCTTCCATATACTCACTCTGATGCCATGAATATATTATAACTTTGTGGAATTCATTTTATGTGGCTACAGTTAGAATTACTATATGAGACTGACAAAAACTAGGTTCATTATTTTATAATCTTTTCCATTTTTTTTCTTATCAAATTGATACCAAGTTTGATCTCTTAACTTTTCCTAAGATACTTTACAGCATGTTGCCGTTTAAAAAGCAAATTAAAAACAAAGCAAAAATGTAACTGGCTGCATGGTTGTGAAAAGTATAATGCTCTAAAGCTGATGATTTTGATTATGATAATACTGGTTTTAATGTATGATTTTCACTGTAATTTAAAAAATCTGCCTTAGATTATAGTCACACTTCATAATCAATTATTGGTATATTAATATACCAAGTACACTGTATTCAAACAAAACTAGTCTGAGAATCTGGGAAACTTTGGTTCTAAACTCAGCAATGCCCTTACCTACCAAAGGGATAATGAACAAATTATTTGACTGTTTCTTCATGTGTGAGATGAGAGGTTTATTAAAAACACTTGATGTAACTTACATATCTCATGATTTCAGAACCCAATTATAAAATTATTTAGAAGTAATGTTTTTAAATACATTATTGTGATTCATCACTTCCACCAAAGCTATAACATTTTATAACTGAGAATAGTAGTTATTAGTATTCTATTGTAGAATACCAGTTTGCATTATAGTGAAAGCTATATTACCTTCAAACCAATTTTTCTATAAACTTGAAACTTCCTATTTACCCCAGTGTCATTCCTGTTTTTTGTGTGACTGTTTCTAAATTTTGGCAAAGAATTTGAAGAGACTGAAATAAGGCCTTCTTGGTTGGTTCATAAAGGATTTTACATCTCTAAAGTGTATATTAAATTAATCTGAGAGCTTTTTCTTTTTAACCCAATTCCATGATTATACATTTCTACTCCATACTGCCACCCTTTGTCATATCTGAATCTACATATCTCCTTTAGGAGTTACAGTCAATATTCATAGGAAAATGGTAACATTCCTGAACTAGGGAAAGTAAATGCTTACTACAGAGACCTGTGGTAGGCAAAGGACTGATGGAAAATCATATTTAAAGGAGTTAAGCAGATAAAGTGAAAACAATTCACCCCTTTATAAATGTATGAGTGCCATTTTGTAGTATAAACTTTTGGCTAGCAAACTATATTACCTGCCCATGGGTATGGTAAAATATGTATAGAAATACAAAAAGATTGAATTACACAATGAAATTCTCCTATACCTTTTGAACCCTTATCATATTATTGCTATATTAAGAACTGTGGAAACTGAATCCCAAACTTCTTTTCTGATATGCTATTCAGATTTGAAGGCTGGAAGTCAAGACCCAGGCTACTCTCTGCTTTTCAGCAATCCAATACTAGCAGAATTCTGAAAAGGTAGTTTCACCATTGCCACCCCTGAATAAAAAGGAAAGAGAATAGATGTCAGGTAATATCAACATCAGATGTCACAGGCAGTCATCAGGTTATTCTTTCAGCTGCTTACCAGTGTGACTCCTTTTATGTACCATAAGCACATTGGGCCCAATGCAAACCATGCCACAGACGTCACATTTCAGTTTACCATTCGGAAGCCGGATTCCTCCCTCGCCTTGAAGCTCCTGGACTTTCCTGTTGTCAGCCACCTCATTGCTCTCAATTAGGGGTTCTTCTAGGCTGCTACCCTCATCATGGCCCCTGATCTCATCTTCACGGCTCAGGGGTTTCCTGTCACATTCTTCATCACTCTGCATTTCTAGCTTTACTGAATTTGCTGCAAATTAAAAAGAAGAAATTTTAAATAATGCTATGTGCTTTCAGCAGTCTCCTTTCTACCCATTGTCATTCTAGTAAGTGGATGCACATGATATATTAAACAGTATACTACCTATCAACAAAGACCATGTTGATACATATTATGCTCTATGGTATTTTAATGAAACTGTGTCATAAAAGCAAAGCTGGCTCAGCAAAGCTTTAGATAAAGAGACTGTCCTTTATTTTTGCCCACATTCATTTAACCCAAATATTTACATATTAACAAGTTATTTCATAATTCTAGCATTGGCTTTTGAGTTTGTCACTAAAGCTACTCAGAGTGAGATATATGTATGGAATACACAAGATTAAATATTGCCAAATTCACTGAGCCATGCCTCCTTTTAATTTAACAATCATCATATTCATATTTTCTACTTCACATCTGAAAACTTGTATAAACCCGCTTCTGAACAGGGCAAGAGAAACAACTCAAGATCTTAATCCAGCAAATGTCTTTCACATACGCAGGCAAATGTCCTAAAATCAAACTAAACACCAATATTCAGTTAAGAGCTGTGTAAATGCAGGTAAGGTTAAGTGCACTGACCTCATATGCTCTGAAGTTACTTTGCCATTATTTCTTCTATGAAAAAAAAAATCTCTATGGAACATACCAGTCTGGAAATCAGCTATTCTATCTCTAATGTATGCACACACAAAAAACAACAAGTGAGAGGAATGGCATAACACACATGTACACACTTGTGACTGTTAAGAAATTCAATGCCCTCTGTTTGCTGTTTTTGGATCATCCCACAGAAAAGTTGGAATTCTATTGGCACAGCCCTCATTCTGGACTGCTGACAGAGTCTTTTCAAAAAGCAGAAGCAATTTATATTAGTTTATATTAAATTTATATTAGATTTTTTTAATCCAGTGATCCTGAAAATTTCTTAAGAAATCACATCAAAGTTACTAAATGAAACAACTTTTCTGGTACTACTTGAACAGAGGAAATATTTTCATAAAAAGAACGGAATTTCTTTTTACTGCAGGTGTTTTCTTGGAGAAACCGCACTGTTTATTTATCATATTTGTCACTACTCATTGGGACAGGGAGTGTGATCAACAGGGCTCTTTCCCTGCTCTCTTTAGAGCACCCCTATTAACTAGTAGCATGGCACAAAGACACTAGCAGAATACTTTCGAATTAATTGATTTACTTAGAGTTAAGTTAATTACTTAACTTCTGAATCTTAGTCTTTCATTTCAAAGAGAAAATGAATTCAGATTACTAAATAAAGTTTGAAATAGTTTATATAGTAAGAGTGATGATGATCCTTAAATTCTTAAGGAACTCAAATTCTTTGTTCTCTATAAAATGGGAATAACAATGGTCTCACTTGCTATGGTTGATATGAGCATTAAATGAGTAAATATACCAAACATGTATATCTATTATTTTTCTCTGTACATAAAGAACTGTATTAATTGCATAAGATTTTTGTGCAGATTAATTAACTTTGAGTCTGTAGATTTCAATCTCCAAAGGGATATGCATCCTTGCTGGATTCATCTTTTTTGGGGGTTGGGGTGGGGGACGTACTGGGGATTGAACCTAGGAGTGCTTAACCACTGAGCCATATCCCTAGCCCTTTTAATATTTTATTTTATTTTGAGACAGGGTCTTGCTATATTGCTTAGTGCCTCACTAAGTTGCTGAGGCTGGCTTTGAACTTGTGACCCTCCTGCTTCAGCTTCCCAAACTGATGGGATTACAAGTATGTATCACCACACCTGGCCCTTGGCTGGGCACATCTCTAATTTAGTCAACTATGCTGAGTTTTACTTTATTTAGAAATCAATATGAAATTATTGTTTTCTAGAATAAGTAGGGACAATATTTCATCTAATTTTATATTTTCACCATGCTTAAAAATTTTGTAGTAAACAGGAGATTGTCAAGCAGAATTCACTGATTTATTTTACTAAACTGTGAGTTTTACTGCCTTAGACTTACTTGTTTTATATGCTTAAGGAATCCATGACATAATAAAAAAAGTGAAATAATATATAGAATTAAAAATGAAAATTAAGTACTTTACTACACAAGAATAACAATTCCTCAATTCCTGTCTCAAAAAGCAGCTATGATCATAATTGTCATACTCAGAAGACTGAATTCATTTTCAAAAAATATTTTTTTAGTTGTAGATGGACACAATATATCTATTTATCTTTTTATGTGGTGCTGAGGATCCAACCCAGTACCTCACACATGTGAGGTAAGCACTCTACCACTGAGCTATAGCCCCAGGCCTAAATCCATTTTTAGATGTAATAGAATTCATTCATCTAAACTATCATTGGAAATTTAAGATTATTTGTCTTCATTACTGACATTCTTAAACCTCAATTAACTATCAATGTGAAACTAGTATTTCACTAGTCTATAATTTTTTTTTAAGTTGATCTTCTCTTGTACAATTTAGTTGTTCTTTATTTTTCCCCAAAATTTTTATCAAACATTTTGGCCATTTTTCTAGGAGGTTATCAGTCTTTACTCACTGAATTTAAACATTCTTTATATACAAGATTAGCATCTCTTAACATGAAAATCCCAAATCCAAAATACTCCCAAATCCAAAACTTTTTGAGCACTAACATGATGCTACAAGTAGAAAATTCCACAACTGACCTCACGTGATAGGTCATTGTCAAAACCAGGCACACTAAAAATAAGTGGATAAAATTACTTTCAGGCTATGTGTAAAGTTGTGTGTGAAACATAAATAAATTTCACGTTTAGACTTGAGATTCATTCCCCAAATATCTGATTATACATGTAGAAGTATTCGAAAATCCAGAAGATTAATATCAGGAATATTTCTGATCTTAAACATTTTGAATAGGGATTATTGAATCTATAGTAAGGAATTTATTCTTGTGTTTATGATATATTTTGCAAATATTTTATCTTTTTACTCATTACTCATGGGTATTTTATGGCATATAAGCAAATTTCACATGTTGAATTTTTAAAGTTTTCAATTATGTCATTTGGGTTCCATATCTTGCTACAAGTAGGCTTTTCTACAAAAAAACCAAAACAAAACAAAAAAAAAAGAATTGTTTTTCTGATAAGGAAGACTTTTCTAATCAATGAAAAATGCTATTGATTATACTATGCAGTGATGTACTTTATTTATAATTGTCATTTAAAAGACAAGTTGAGAATAAATAAAAACATGACTTTATTCAGCATGACTTAATACAAACCTGTGAGCAAACTATCCTACACATTGATTTCAGGTGATGTACTGAAATGTAGAAGCTTCACAGCAATGCCATTAGTTTTGTTTCTGAACTAGCCAGAGTTTGATAAGCTACAATTAATGAGCATAAAATTTACTTGGGTTCCATTTCAGAACTGAAGAAATAAATACATAAAAGCTTTTAAGTTTAAAACTACAGGCCTCTCAAATTTCAAAACAGCACAAAATTATGAGACTGTGACTTGACCTTACATTCTCTCTTTCCCTATTGAGAATATTATAAGAACAGGAAACAGACATGTATTAAAATGTCATTTTAAAAATTAATACACATAAAAAATACAGTTAGAATCTGCTATTCCTAGAGGAATATACTGGATGGAACCACTGTATTTAAAATAAATGTTTTTGGGTTTTTTTGCTGGAACTTTTTCCTGTACTTTAGGAATTATATATTTATCTAATTTATTATATGTTTTACCTTCTATTATTAAATATTATCTTCTATTAATATATTTCCTGTCCCAATATAGTAAATCAATAAATTATAACACATTGCAATATACATATCATAGATTATATTTTTCAAAAACTGGCAGTCGATATATAAACAAAAATCTCATAATAATTAATTTCCTTAAATATTTTTTTTAGTTGCAGTTGGACACAGTACCTTTATTTTATTTATTTATTTTTATGTGGTGCTGAGGATCGAACCCAGAGCCTCCCATGTGCTAGAAGAGCACTCTACCGTGGAGCCACAACCCTAACCCACATGGTAATTAATTTTTAACCCAGCTCTCTGAAATTAGGTTGAAATTCTAAGATAAAAAGCAACTAATTAAATAAATTAGTCTTTGAATCTTAACTCTCCCATGATTTACTTTTACTATTGAAGAGAACCTAATTTAAATCATTAATGTTTAAATTCAAGTGTGTAGCATATTAAGCAAACCTTAAATTATAATTTATATATTAATAAAAGAGTTGTATTGTGACTATTTTTAGCTATAATACGTGAAGCTATTACAGCTCTTAATCATCACACAATAATATTCACAGTACTCTAGGTTTCAAGTCTTTAAAATTGAATTTTTAATCTTCATTATATGGAATTTTGTTTACAATTTGGTAATAGGAAAATATTCTCATAAATGAATGATTTAATTCTCTTATTTATGTGGGAGAATGTATGAGCGAAATGAAATCTTGACATTAGAAATCTCAAAACAAAGAACAATTTTACAAGCTGTTCCTCTAATCTGAAATGAAGGACATAAAACTCAAGCATATCTGTGGGTATTTATACACATTAATATATACTGACAAGCAATGATGCCTTGACAAAAATAGCATTTTGTCAGAACAAATTATTAGCAACACTCAAGTTTATATATAAGAAGCTTTGAGTGTATTTCATGATAAGAAGTTCCTCGAGTATTTGGGGGCGGAAAAAAGCACCATAATGTAAAGATTTTAGTTAACTGATCAATTTGCTCTGTTATTCAACACTGTAGTCACCAAAAAGTAAACTTCGAAGATATCTGAATATTTTCAATGAAGAAAAGAAAGAATTTTTGTTTTCTTAAAAAGGAGATGATATTGTCTACATTTAAAAACAAAAGTCCAATTTTGTTATTGATTAAGAAAAAGTTACTTTGTACACAGGCAATCAGTCATTGATGATAATGATGTTTCTTATACTTTCATTGTAAAAGCCCTTCTGTTTAGAACTTAT